CTCGCACCACCAAAACGTTTGAGTGTCGGAACATTTGCATCTTTTTTGAATCGTTCCGATGGCAAAAACAATGACTTACGGGTATTATTGTTTGGATCATCGCAACAAATTTCTAACACAGTCTGTGTATACCCAGTTCACGAAAAAGGCAAGAGAGAGGCAATGCATCAAAATATGGAATATGGATATGATGTACGAAAATCCGCTGAAGAACGTGAACAAGTAATAATCCACTTGAATTCAAATGATTTGATTGAATGAATTTAGGTGAACGATTGACGTAAAACCGAGTAAATTCCTAGCTCTGAGTGTGTATCTATTTTTTGTGTTGTGCGCGAGTGTGTGTAGAAACTCTTTTTATAATGCCGTGTAGAGAAGAAGTAATGCAAACCACTAAGTACTTCGCTTAAGTGCTCCAGTGTAGCGGAAGACGTATTCACTTAATACAATTTCTACATTTCAATCGCATTCGTATTTTCATTTCGCCACCGTTACTCCACCCCGCACATCTTTCACTCGGCTTCACTTTAATCTACTTGAATTTCGCGCAGAAGAATTCTGATCATTATAGTTTAGTGTGTATTATATATGTATCAGTCATTTTCTCTCATGATTCATGTCAAAGATCCATTTGCTGCCGCGTAATGATGAAACATTTATAACTGAAACGCATCTGTTTTTATTTTAATAAGATTTCTTTTTATTTAACTAAGCACGGTTCGTTGTTGATGCTGTTGTTTACTTTGCATGGTGTCTTTGTTCGAACGTCGTCATTAGAATGCAACACTTTTTTGTTTCATATTTTTTCGTATCGCTGAAAACAGGAAATTCATTTTGAATTTGATTTGATTTCATTTCATTTGATTGTAAAATTCGATATTCAAACGGGCCAGTCGAGTATGTCAAATGGAAAACTGAATGTCAGAAGGACATACTAGTATGAACATGTCATGCACATCATGTACCGTGTTCAAAGTGAACACGACAACTTATTTTCTCTGTCTCTCTCACACACACAATTCTCTAGCTCAATTCGATTTGGTTGATGCATACAGTGAACTTCCAACAAATATTTCCGGTCAAATGAATAGCAAACACGTTTTCAAATCGAATCCATTGATTGTTCGCTGTGATCGATAGCATTTGATTTGCGCAAAAGAAAGCAAACAAACGTCGAAATTCTCAAACACAAAAGCGCGCACATACACTGAACTAATGGCAAAAGCACGATTTTTCACTCAACTGATGTCGACATTTTCAAATCGAACGGAATGTTTTCGTTCACAATTTCCACTTCATTCGCTCCACCTCTTCTCCGCCATTCAATTAGTTGCGTCTCTCTCTCTTTGTGTTTTCTTTTGTGCATTAAAATTGCAACTCACCGTAAAATCGCTATGTTTCATTAAGTAATTTTGAATATTTCAACGGCCATTTGAATATTTTTTTTTTATTATAATTTTCATCCAGGTGATGATAGCTTCCATTAGATGCGGAACAACATTGGTTTTTCGATTATTTCGTGGTTGTTGTTGTTTTCGATGAAAATGCGTGATCCATACGGGCGGTGTATTAAACATGCAATGAAATTAAAACGATAGATAAAATAAACAGCGGGCAGCTAAACTTGAAATTTATTATTATTATTGAATTTAATGTCCATGTATCCAACGGCTTTTTTTCTCAGTCAGCAATTTTCAGGCACGCGGTTAATAAAATATAATTTTAATGTCAAAATTAAATGAAACCGAACATGGTCGCTGACAGCACTCTGATCAGATGTGATTTTTTTTCGGACACGCTTCAGTTGAGTGCGTCTTTTTTCTCGGTTTCGCTGTTTACCAAAAAAAAAAATGTAGAGAACAAAAAAAATGTAACTGATGGTTGTAAAGTTATTGCGCGACACATGCAGCTGTGAAATTGGAACATATTTCGCCGTCGAAAAGCATGGAAAACGTGATTTTCGACATATAGATTTCGCAATTACTTTGAATCTAGGTGCTACTGCCGTTGCTTGCCAATGGATCAAATGCCAGCTCATTGGCATGAATTGTGCTCTAGTCTTTGCTTCATAAAATGACTAAGAATTCTTCGTTACCCTACCTGAATTTAGTACAATCTACTTAAAAGTTGCTCGTTTTACAAATTAGCCATAAATTTTCTTATGCGCAGTTTTACCTGATAACATGCTATGTGAAGTTGATCTGACATAATGAGCGATTTTTTTTTCTCTCTTGTTCCTCTTTGTTTTATCTCGAACAAAAGAATTTTTCATCAATACTTGTTGGCAATGAGAAAGACATAACTCATAAAATAACTTTCATATTCTTCACGTCGTTTTCTATAAGTTATCTAACTTTAATTTGAAACATAAAAAAAAAAACAAATTGTGGAAAAAACTCTTCGTAAGTAAATGTATTGAAATTAATTAAACAACAAACCGCGTTGAATTGTTACTCGATGGAGTTTATTATTGTTGGAAAAAGTCTTTAATCTAGATGGAAATCATTATGATGGAAAAGTTGTCGAAAGATGCCAGTGGTTGAACATTGTAGATAAGTAACAAGAGGAAACGAGCTCTGACATCCAGCAAACACAATCTAAAAACTGTTTCTAACGTTTTCCAATGGATTCTTTCTATTAATTTGGAATTCAAGCAAATAAAAAGTGTGCAGTTTGTGTATCGAAAAGCGATGTTAGATTTAAAATTCGTCACTGCTTCACATGGGAATCCAATGTATTCAATATACTGACACACTTGCACAAATCCAGAGAGAAAGAAATTCCCTTGCGTCCGTCGCACTGAAGAATGCGGAAGCTACAATCTCAGTATGGTATTACAAAATACTCTATCACATATAGTGTAAGAAAAAACTTTGTATCAACTCAATGTTGTCACTCTGGTTTTAACTCGGTTATATATCTATTGGTACCAGCGAGAGAGGGAGACGGAAAATTGAACGAAGAAATGATCGTCCGATTCCATAACATAATAAATTCAGTTTTCAACTCGTGCCGCTAAAAATCAAAGAAAAAAAATAAAAATCGACCTAAGCCACGATGCATTAACGCATCAGCCACAAAGTCAATTTGCATCGAAAATTATCACATGAACACGAAAATTTACATTCTATAAACAATAGAAAACTCAGCAGCGAAAAGCGAAATGAAAATACACGAACATCGAACAATACAGAAAAAACTCGAAACGATCACTTTAGCGCCCAGGTCGAGAAGAGGAGAAATTTCTTCTTTCGGTTTTGTTTTTTTTTATCTTCTCTTAAAAACACAAAATGCACTAAGTAAACTCTCTCGCCTTGTTCAACCAGCATATATCGAAATAATTCAGCCATTTTCATCTTCTTTTCATTTCAATTCAATCAATGTAAAATACTTATATAAACATTGAGCGAGAGCTTTAAAAGATTGAAAGAAATAGAAAACAATATGCTCATGCACATAACATAATTCATAACGCTGTTAACTTTCATGATCTGCGGTTGATAGGAGAAAATTACTGAAGATACACGAAAAATCAATCATGAATTATGAACAGTGCGCCAACAATAAAAGAGAGAGAGAGAAAAAACGTTATGAAAGTGAAATCCAGACACAGAAGAAAAAAATCATGTAAAAAAATAGGCCTAGCAGTGGTTTTTTTCTATGACGAATTGCGATTACATTATTTATCTCAAGAGATTTTTCTAACACTTCCGCAAAAGCATAAAGCACTCTGTAAAACTGTATGGCTGGCAGTAGCGGAGTTTAATTCAAATGATCCTTCTTAAACAGATTTAGCGCTAGTTCTTTAATAGGACCATGCATTCGCCACGAATTTTCAAAAAAAAAATACTTCAAATTATATCATTAAATGGGGTTTTGCAAAGGCTTTCTTCATTTATATATATAGATATTATCTCGCTCTCTTATGAAACCAACCCCCCCTGATGTCAAACAATGAAAAAAGATTCATAACATACAACACCATCTCTTGGTATGCCACATATCTGTTTTTTTCTCCACAATGTGGAGAAAGTGTTTACGTATACGTATACGTTGACATTAATAATCTGTCAAAACCGTAAACACATTATTTTCATAACGCAATTTTGCGAGAGTTCCTATTAGTTGAAAAAAATTAAATTTTTGTGTGCAAACTGTAAGTTATTTTGTGATTTTATTGTGTTTAGATTGAATACGATTTCATAAATTTTTGAAAAGTGATTTTACAGTAACAAGAAATGTAAAGCAGAAAGAAAAAAACCAATAAATGAGTTTAGAACGTTTAGAATCATATGCACATTTTCGTGATATTCTAACCTCAATCGCTCTTTACTCTCAGTTTTACATTCTTTATATCAACAATTATTTTATAATTTAAACAGGAAACGCAAAATGGTTTAGTGCGATGTATGCCAGCAGAATATTTCGGGAAACATTTACAAGCACAAAAGAGTTGAGCACAGTTGGGATCGAGGTGGTATTAAATTGATTAAACAGGAAGATAAAACTCTGATCGAAGCTATACAAAACGAAAAAACATTCGTTGGACCTTCGCTGTTATATTTGAAACGTCTCGCAAATTATGCGGTAACACAAAATTTTCAAGCCACATTTTTTGGAGTCGACTCACCAAAACCAGAACTTGTCATTACAACGGGTACAATTGCAGAGAATGAAAGAAATTTGGCTGAAATTGTGGATCAACTCTATGGCCAAATCGGTCAATGAACTACGATCGCTATTCAATATTTAGTTTATGAATATGTTCATTTTTTCACGCAAAATGCGACCAATTACATTTATAATTAAATACCATGAATAAATATTAATTTTTTATGTAAAAAATGGAAACAAATCTCTTTTCATTTGTTCGCTTTCAAGCGGGTTGAAATATTCATTGAATTCACAATTTTTTATATTTTTACAAGCATGGATTGTGAAGAACGCCAAATATATGAGAACCATAAATAAATCCAAATGAATAAATTGAAATTCAGCAGTGTTTTAGTAGTATAGTGTTTTTATTTTTGTTTGATATCAATATGTAGCTAAGAGACATTTTCCAATCATTTATATTTATTTAATTAAACATAAAAGTAAGTAATTTACGCATATTTTGCGAGAGAACTAATGCTCAGGTGTATCAACATCAGACATCTCCGGGATTGTATTTTCATTCTCTGCAATTGTACCCGTTGTAATGACAAGTTCTGGTTTTGGTGAGTCGACTCCAAAAAATGTGGCTTGAAAATTTTGTGTTACCGCATAATTTGCGAGACGTTTCAAATATAACAGCGAAGGTCCAACGAATGTTTTTTCGTTTTGTATAGCTTCGATCAGAGTTTTATCTTCCTGTTTAATCAATTTAATACCACCTCGATCCCAACTGTGCTCAACTCTTTTGTGCTTGTAAATGTTTCCCGAAATATTCTGCTGGCATACATCGCACTAAACCATTTTGCGTTTCCTGTTTAAATTATAAAATAATTGTTGATATAAAGAATGTAAAACTGAGAGTAAAGAGCGATTGAGGTTAGAATATCACGAAAATGTGCATATTCTAAACGTTCTAAACTCATTTATTGGTTTTTTTCTTTCTGCTTTACATTTCTTGTTACTGTAAAATCACTTTTCAACAATTTATGAAATCGTATTCAATCTAAACACAATAAAATCACAAAATAACTTACAGTTTGCACACAAAAATTTAATTTTTTTCAACTAATAGGAACTATCGCAAAATTGCGTTATGAAAATAATGTGTTTACGGTTTTGACAGATTATTAATGTCGACGTATACGTAACCACAGCTGTCATAATATATACGTAACTTCGTATTTTCACATTGTGGAGAATTTTTTCTGTTTCATTAATAATGAATCATTATTTTCTGTAATAAATAGAAATTTATTTATTTATAATTCTAATAGAATGAATTTGAAAAAATAAATAGAATCATTTATATGAAATAAAAATAATTCTAATTTGAAATAATACGATTTTGTTAGGTTCCCATAGAATGGTGTGAGTATTTATAATTTAGTTGTATTATTTTATATGCTTTATGTGTGTGTACAATGATTTTTAATTGATTTAATTTCAATTTGATTTACTTGAATGATTTTTAATACAATTTTTGTGTTGAAACTATAACATTCAAATACATTCCAAATTATTGAAATAAATTTGATTTTTGCATCTAATTCACACTAAAATCAGATGGCGCTCATTAGCGAGATTCGCAAAAAAAAGTCTCCAATCTCATATACGTCAACCCCCCTTGTATGAAACACTATCGCACACAATATGAGCAATTGGAAATTAGTTTAAAAAAATTGAAACGAAAAATTGAAAACAAAATCTTTACCGTTTTTGGAGCTGTAAAAAGCGATAATATCACGTCTTGCTCACTTCTTAACGGTTTTATTGTTCGAGTTTTTTTGGTAAAAGTTGCATTTTACTCTAATTAAACTGATGAGAGTCTCTTGAAATGAGGCTGACGCTTGTGGGATGTATGCTCGATTCAAAGTCATGGATGAAACACTTTTGGGTGTGGTGAAATGCCCATTGAATTACTCAATTTAAATATAACAGCATGAAATCTTGACAAAATATCAAAAAACTATGGGAAATTCAACTGAAAAATGAACGTAGTTTCAAACCGATATGTTTTAAGAGATCGTTATCGTATTTCGGTTCCTTCAAAAAAAAAAGTTCACATTTTGTAATTAATTCAAATATGAATTTAAGTCTATGAAAAATGTGCCACTCCATATTTTCTGAATATGTTTTTATTTCTGGTCGTTATGCTTCCGGCATTAGTCATCATGGGCATCGTAGTCGGTTCGCATATCATATGTCTATGAAATGAATTAATTGGAGCTAGAAATATGATGTTTACGGTTGCACTTTCCATACTGCGAATACATTATATACCTTGCCACAAACACTCGCGATCCACATACATTGTATCGACTATGATGGAGCTAAGTAGAAGCATTCATTTTAATGAAATTATACCCATGGAAACGTGCACATGACGGTTGTAATTAAAATGCCATTTTTATGATTAGCTTTTGGTCGTGCACAACACGTTCGCATCTCTTACAATTAACACGTAACACAATCTCATCTGACTTGGGATTTTCGGTGTTACGCATATCATGTGTTCAACTCTCGGTTTTTTTATCTTTAAATTAAACCCAATCTGATTTTGCCTACACGAATGGTAATTGGAGTGAAAGAGTTAATCCAACGGCTTAAAAAAGGAGTATGCAATCACACAAAGAGACTATTTTAGTATTCTTGGTTCATGTAATTCTTATTCTTCCGTTTATTATGCAAAATAAAAAAACAGAACCTTCTGTTCGGAAGTACAAATGAACCGAAACGCGATTTGCATATATAAATGTATGCTAAATATCAACGCATGTGTTGTGCGTTCATGACGCATTCGTTGTCATCGTAATGCGACGTCATTTGGTGTCCAACATTCACAAAAAGCATTCATCGTCTAGACGATGCGAGTGATTATCAAGTACGTCAGCTGTACGGTTGAATGCCGCTAAGAAGCTTATTTAGCGTTAATATAGTATAAATCATCGTTTTAACACATGATTCGCTCTATTAGAAATGAACAATTTTTTTTGCCATTCATCATTGCAGTGGCGGCTATTTTTATAACCTTGTCGAAAATTTCATGGCATTCAAACACTTTTTTTTAATATCAATAATTAAATGTGAATGAAAACGCTTAATTTGATGCGCTCAAAATAAATTGAATGATTGCAAAAGGTTGTAATTTGTGGTTTTTTCTCATTTGATTATACTGTTGGTTGATTTACTAATTGTAATATTGTCACGTTTCCATTTAATAATTTCAGGAAAAAATATCGGAATCGATTCTATAATCAAATTTTACGTACAATACAAAACAAATTACGTCCAAACAAATGAAAATTTTTGAAAATGTCGATTTATTGAGAGAAAAATCGTCGTTGATAAATGCAACACTAATTGTGTGCTCGAATACTAAAGGTAATAAACAGTTTGATTTCACAAGTGCGACCCGCATCTAAAAATAGCATTAAAATATACTTGACGTATTTTATGTAATAATCCCAACATGATCGAGAAAATAAAGAACCAGAACATAGTAGCATATTTCGAATATCCAGTTTATGCAAACGATTTAGAATTTTTATTAACACATGAACTCGAAGTGTATACATTCAACATTGCGAAATAAAAACCAAAGAGATAACTGAGAAAATAATATGTATTGTTTGCGTGTCAACCGCGGTTTTTTCTAATGTGCTGTATTGCACATCGTCACTTTTAACCATGTGTCCTCTCTTTTGCATTTATATTTACTTTTTTATGTCCCTTTGTTTGAAAATTGCTCACATAACTATTTCCTTTATGAATCCAATTGTGCACTCTCGTGCTGTGCACTGCTTGATTTTTGATATTTTTTCTCTCTCTTATTCGCTTGCTCTCTATCTCTTTATCCGGACGACTTTTTTTCTTGGGTTTTTTTTTGCTCACCTTATTGCATGTTTTCGCGCATTCACTATAAACGGATACTTTATGGTGTATGAAGGTTGTTGACGATGGTACTTGCGCTCAACATCAAAAATGCTTCACCGAAGTGGAAACTGTATATGTGTACATAAAGAATATCATCGTTCACATGCAAGAATGGGTTGGCTTTTTTATATAGATTTTCTCATTAGCAATCGCAACAATTCACCGAGTTGTATTAAGTTGAAGTCCCATCATCTTACGCGTTTATAATGGAATTATATGAGGTCGTATAACAACATACAATATTATTATCGAGGCGCCGCTCATACGATTGTCTATGATAGTTTAATCGATCGTTCTTCAAATTATTACCATGCTCAAATGACCGTCATCCACTTAACCCGATCCATGATTTAACTGTTTACCACAAGCATTGCTCACACAAACACACAGAGAAAGAAAGAGAAAGAGAGAAAAGAGATCGTCATCCTCCCATATATAAATACAATTCTTCCGCAAAACCGAACTGAAATTTATATGCGTCAGTTAACGATGATACATTTGTGTAATGAAACAACCTGAGAAATGAAACTACCCAATCGATGGAAGAAAATATCTGTGCAGCATTATGCGAATAACATAGATGACGTATATATTTCCTACAAAATCATCGGCATGGAAAACAAATTCCATTTTTATTGATGGATGGCAAATGAAAAAAAGCATCAACGTGAACTTATGTTTGTGTGTGTGTCTGTGTGCGCGCACTTTTATGGGGTCGTTAAGCGTTTCATGTTCATACGAAACAGTAAGCACACTTCTCAAAATGTTAACCAGTGCAAGTGTCACTAGTAGAGCAATATTTCATCTCGTTGCCACCCAGTTACATCACGTCCTTCATGTTTTCACTGTGTACGATGTACGTGCATCAGAAATTGTTCGAAAGACAACGGAAAAAGAGTGTAGGTAACAAATTTCTTTTTCTTCACATTCAAATTTGTCTCTACGTCTACATACAATTCCATGTACGCGTAAAATTATGTTTTCATGTGACGAAAAACACAAGTTTTTTTTCTCTCTTTTTTGCATTGGCATTTGATATGCTGCAACGGTGTATCGAATCGGTTGTACAAACGAAGGATGATTGCATGATCGTTTTTAGCTCTTTATTTGCAATCAAACTGCGTAAGTCACTCAGCACGACAATGTCTATAACCACATGACTTGCGGCATTTTTACTCGATATCTAACTGGTTTAAGAGATGGAATTGTGGATTGACTTTTTTCCTACTTGAATTGGCATTTGTTGGAATTGAAAGAGTGTAAAGTGCATTGGCCGTTGTTGGATATACTAAAAATAGATTTTCTTGGACCGTTTCTCTCTCTCTCTCTCTGTCCCTTTCTGTCTCGTTCTCTCAAGACTTTAATGCAGATAAACAAATCAAAGATTGAAAACGGTTTCAAAGTGCCGCACAGAAATGATATTGTAGATATCAAATGTAATTTTTTTTTGATGCAGTGAAAAGGATACTTTGTTTGGCGCTTCTTGCCATTTCGTACTGTGCATCGTTAATTTTTAAAATGAACTGTGTGTGTGCATTTTTTTCTCTCTTCTCTTCATTTTGCTCTTCTCTCATGACAAATGCTGTTGCATTTCTTTTCAACTCTTTCTTCTCAATCATCGAACGTAATTGTAGACTAAATACTGAAAACCATTTGTAAGTATCATGCAAAAATACTCCAATGCCAATTACTGCCTCAAGAAAATAACTATTTATACATATATTGTGTGTGTGTGTGTTTGTGTGTTTTTTATTTATTTATGTAGTACTAAGCGATTTAATTGTATGGAGTGCGACGCGCAGAAAAGAATCTTCATTTGTTTGTTTGCTTGCATTTAAATCCCATTGTGTATATTCATTAACTCGTCTTTTGTGCACATCGCCCATCATTGGCCATATAATATGTTGCGGTGGCCGGGATGGAGTGTGTTGACTTTCAGCCTATGCACACATCAGCACACATAGATAGACAGAGAAACAGAGAGATAGAGATATGTTGTAAATAATAATAAATGCCAAACTGGAAAATGAAGAAAACGAAATTAAATAACTTAAGCTAGTATTTATATTCTAAAAATAGGTATGATTTAAAGTTTGCTAGCTAAATATACAGTATGAATATGAAAACATGTCCAGAATTACGTGCAAATGGAACGGCTTGAATGCATCGTGACTGTGAAACCGGATTGAAAATTGTGATCCATTACATATGAAAATATTAACGTTAATGTTCTAATCATTTACTGACGTATTATCATCGTCGCTGCTT